GGGGGGGGACCGGCCACATGATGCAAATCTAATGCGAGGTGAGAGAACAATCACCTGGTCCGGGGGTCTCATTTCCTCCAACGATCAGCTATGGACGGAGGAATTCAAAGAGCGATGACCCGTGTGACTCCTCCTCCTGCGCACGACGCGGCAGAGCGCGTCTGAACAAGGAAATATAAATGATGCAGCAAGGCAGTGGGAACGTTCCCTATTCCACGCGAGGGGGCAGCAAACAGGGCTTCCACCACTGGCAGGGACAGAACATTTCGGGGTGTCCCCTCGAGGAGGTCAGTGTCAGGCGGCTGTATTACGCCTCCAGTGTTTAATCATAGTGCAGGCTCTTGAATGATCCGCCAAAGCGCTTCCGGTCCGAGTATCCCGGAATCTGTGGGAGAGAGGGAAGGAATTAGAAGTGAGACCTATGAAGTCCGCTCTGCGTGTTCATCCCCCAAAACCGTCCCCCATCAGACTGGCTGCTCTGCCATCTAGTGCCGGCCCTCTGATTGGCTGAATGATGACCCCTTCCTGGCACTGCACGGTGTCATGGACCCGCCCACCCTCATGATGTACAGTGACCGCGTGCGCCCAGGGCCAGAGAGAAGAGGAGACGGAAAGAATGACGAAATGAAGGAAAGGAAGATAAAGGTTGATGAAGAAAGAAAGAAAGAAATGAAATTGATCTTTCTCACTTTCGTTCCTATAACATCTATCTGTCCTAATCAATCTTTAGCATATATACTATAGATAGATAAACTATAAGAAAGAAAAAAAGAAGAGAAAGATGACAGAGAGGGGGAGGGAGAGAGAGAGGGAGAGAGAGAGGGAGAGAGAGAGGAGGGAGAGAGAGAGAGAGGAGGGAGAGAGAGAGAGAGGAGGGAGAGAGAGAGAGAGGAGGGAGAGAGAGAGAGAGGAGGGAGAGAGAGAGAGAGGAGGGAGAGAGAGAGAGAGGAGGGAGAGAGAGAGAGAGGAGGGAGAGAGAGAGAGAGGAGGGAGAGAGAGAGAGAGGAGGGAGAGAGAGAGAGAGGAGGGAGAGAGAGAGAGAGGAGGGAGAGAGAGAGAGAGGAGGGAGAGAGAGAGAGAGGAGGGAGAGAGAGAGAGAGGAGGGAGAGAGAGAGAGAGGAGGGAGAGAGAGAGAGAGGAGGGAGAGAGAGAGAGAGGAGGGAGAGAGAGAGAGAGGAGGGAGAGAGAGAGAGAGGAGGGAGAGAGAGAGAGAGGAGGGAGAGAGAGAGAGAGGAGGGAGAGAGAGAGAGAGGAGGGAGAGAGAGAGAGAGGAGGGAGAGAGAGAGAGAGGAGGGAGAGAGAGAGAGAGGAGGGAGAGAGAGAGAGAGGAGGGAGAGAGAGAGAGAGGAGGGAGAGAGAGAGAGAGGAGGGAGAGAGAGAGAGAGGAGGGAGAGAGAGAGAGAGGAGGGAGAGAGAGAGAGAGGAGGGAGAGAGAGAGAGAGGAGGGAGAGAGAGAGAGAGGAGGGAGAGAGAGAGAGAGGAGGGAGAGAGAGAGAGAGGAGGGAGAGAGAGAGAGAGGAGGGAGAGAGAGAGAGAGGAGGGAGAGAGAGAGAGAGGAGGGAGAGAGAGAGAGAGGAGGGAGAGAGAGAGAGAGGAGGGAGAGAGAGAGAGAGGAGGGAGAGAGAGAGAGAGGAGGGAGAGAGAGAGAGAGGAGGGAGAGAGAGAGAGAGGAGGGAGAGAGAGAGAGAGGAGGGAGAGAGAGAGAGAGGAGGGAGAGAGAGAGAGAGGAGGGAGAGAGAGAGAGAGGAGGGAGAGAGAGAGAGAGGAGGGAGAGAGAGAGAGAGGAGGGAGAGAGAGAGAGAGGAGGGAGAGAGAGAGAGAGGAGGGAGAGAGAGAGAGAGGAGGGAGAGAGAGAGAGAGGAGGGAGAGAGAGAGAGAGGAGGGAGAGAGAGAGAGAGGAGGGAGAGAGAGAGAGAGGAGGGAGAGAGAGAGAGAGGAGGGAGAGAGAGAGAGAGGAGGGAGAGAGAGAGAGAGGAGGGAGAGAGAGAGAGAGGAGGGAGAGAGAGAGAGAGGAGGGAGAGAGAGAGAGAGGAGGGAGAGAGAGAGAGAGGAGGGAGAGAGAGAGAGAGGAGGGAGAGAGAGAGAGAGGAGGGAGAGAGAGAGAGAGGAGGGAGAGAGAGAGAGAGGAGGGAGAGAGAGAGAGAGGAGGGAGAGAGAGAGAGAGGAGGGAGAGAGAGAGAGAGGAGGGAGAGAGAGAGAGAGGAGGGAGAGAGAGAGAGAGGAGGGAGAGAGAGAGAGAGGAGGGAGAGAGAGAGAGAGGAGGGAGAGAGAGAGAGAGGAGGGAGAGAGAGAGAGAGGAGGGAGAGAGAGAGAGAGGAGGGAGAGAGAGAGAGAGGAGGGAGAGAGAGAGAGAGGAGGGAGAGAGAGAGAGAGGAGGGAGAGAGAGAGAGAGGAGGGAGAGAGAGAGAGAGGAGGGAGAGAGAGAGAGAGGAGGGAGAGAGAGAGAGAGGAGGGAGAGAGAGAGAGAGGAGGGAGAGAGAGAGAGAGGAGGGAGAGAGAGAGAGAGGAGGGAGAGAGAGAGAGAGGAGGGAGAGAGAGAGAGAGGAGGGAGAGAGAGAGAGAGGAGGGAGAGAGAGAGAGAGGAGGGAGAGAGAGAGAGAGGAGGGAGAGAGAGAGAGAGGAGGGAGAGAGAGAGAGAGGAGGGAGAGAGAGAGAGAGGAGGGAGAGAGAGAGAGAGGAGGGAGAGAGAGAGAGAGGAGGGAGAGAGAGAGAGAGGAGGGAGAGAGAGAGAGAGGAGGGAGAGAGAGAGAGAGGAGGGAGAGAGAGAGAGAGGAGGGAGAGAGAGAGAGAGGAGGGAGAGAGAGAGAGAGGAGGGAGAGAGAGAGAGAGGAGGGAGAGAGAGAGAGAGGAGGGAGAGAGAGAGAGAGGAGGGAGAGAGAGAGAGAGGAGGGAGAGAGAGAGAGAGGAGGGAGAGAGAGAGAGAGGAGGGAGAGAGAGAGAGAGGAGGGAGAGAGAGAGAGAGGAGGGAGAGAGAGAGAGAGGAGGGAGAGAGAGAGAGAGGAGGGAGAGAGAGAGAGAGGAGGGAGAGAGAGAGAGAGGAGGGAGAGAGAGAGAGAGGAGGGAGAGAGAGAGAGAGGAGGGAGAGAGAGAGAGAGGAGGGAGAGAGAGAGAGAGGAGGGAGAGAGAGAGAGAGGAGGGAGAGAGAGAGAGAGGAGGGAGAGAGAGAGAGAGGAGGGAGAGAGAGAGAGAGGAGGGAGAGAGAGAGAGAGGAGGGAGAGAGAGAGAGAGGAGGGAGAGAGAGAGAGAGGAGGGAGAGAGAGAGAGAGGAGGGAGAGAGAGAGAGAGGAGGGAGAGAGAGAGAGAGGAGGGAGAGAGAGAGAGAGGAGGGAGAGAGAGAGAGAGGAGGGAGAGAGAGAGAGAGGAGGGAGAGAGAGAGAGAGGAGGGAGAGAGAGAGAGAGGAGGGAGAGAGAGAGAGAGGAGGGAGAGAGAGAGAGAGGAGGGAGAGAGAGAGAGAGGAGGGAGAGAGAGAGAGAGGAGGGAGAGAGAGAGAGAGGAGGGAGAGAGAGAGAGAGGAGGGAGAGAGAGAGAGAGGAGGGAGAGAGAGAGAGAGGAGGGAGAGAGAGAGAGAGGAGGGAGAGAGAGAGAGAGGAGGGAGAGAGAGAGAGAGGAGGGAGAGAGAGAGAGAGGAGGGAGAGAGAGAGAGAGGAGGGAGAGAGAGAGAGAGGAGGGAGAGAGAGAGAGAGGAGGGAGAGAGAGAGAGAGGAGGGAGAGAGAGAGAGAGGAGGGAGAGAGAGAGAGAGGAGGGAGAGAGAGAGAGAGGAGGGAGAGAGAGAGAGAGGAGGGAGAGAGAGAGAGAGGAGGGAGAGAGAGAGAGAGGAGGGAGAGAGAGAGAGAGGAGGGAGAGAGAGAGAGAGGAGGGAGAGAGAGAGAGAGGAGGGAGAGAGAGAGAGAGGAGGGAGAGAGAGAGAGAGGAGGGAGAGAGAGAGAGAGGAGGGAGAGAGAGAGAGAGGAGGGAGAGAGAGAGAGAGGAGGGAGAGAGAGAGAGAGGAGGGAGAGAGAGAGAGAGGAGGGAGAGAGAGAGAGAGGAGGGAGAGAGAGAGAGAGGAGGGAGAGAGAGAGAGAGGAGGGAGAGAGAGAGAGAGGAGGGAGAGAGAGAGAGAGGAGGGAGAGAGAGAGAGAGGAGGGAGAGAGAGAGAGAGGAGGGAGAGAGAGAGGAGAGAGAGAGAGAGAGGGAGAGAGAGAAGGAGGGAGGGAGGGAGAGAGAGAGGGAGGGAGAGAAGGAGGGAGAGAGAGAAGGAGGGAGAGAGAGAGAGAGGAGGTAGAGAGAGAGGAGGGAGATAGAGAGAAGGAGGGAGAGAGAGAGGAGGGAGAGATAGAGAGAAGGAGGGAGAGAGAGAGGAGGGAGAGAGAGAGG